ATTGAGTGCTATGGAACCCCTTGTACCGGAAATCGTAATTTCGCGCAGTTCTGATGGCCGTAGGGTGGAGGGCGTGGGGTGGGGGGGGGGGGGGGNGAAGGAAGTAGGGAGGTACAGCTTAAAAATTTTGCTCCTTAAACGAGTTGACTTCTTGTTGGTAATGATTTCATCTGTTATTCTCCCACTTCAACCTCTACCCCATTTCTCCCCCTAGAAACTGGTGTTTCATTGTGAAGCACACTCTTGGGAATGAAAGATCCCTGTTTTGTGCCAGCCTAGCTTTTGCATTCTTGAACCTGCACGGAAGCTGAGCCTAAGAGGCAGTCATGTTAAGCCAGCTACCTTCACCTCATTCTAGTAAATTCACTTTTTCATTGTGCTGGGCGACAAAAACCGAGCAACAATTCGCAACAAGGAACCTATTGAGTCGAACTTTGTGGCATTATCGACTCTTCCCCTTCACTCTTGCACTTATTGAAACTTGGGTCTTTTTTTCGTTCAAAAAAGCCCCATACCGTTGAAAAGATGGCCATCAAAACGTTCAACAATCACGCGAGACCTGAATCTCAAGGGACTAATCATAAATGTCCCATAAAAAGTCTTGCATGTCACCAAAGCATTTTGCCTTTGCCATAGAAACTAATTCAAAGGTTATAGAGGGAGGTGCATAGCTGGCTTGTTAAGTAGCCTGTAAAAATTAAAAGGTAATTTAATTTGGATTTTGTTACAGATAGTTAATGTATCAGTAGGAAGACCTCAAAAGGACTGATTTTCAGTTGTCGCACGCTAAGATAGGCCTTTGTAATTTTCTTTCTTATGACAGGAATAAGATGAAGCAGCCTATCTATTTGAACTGGCTAGGTTACCTTGAAGTAATTCTTAAATTCGGCTCTGCAGGAATTTTCGCAAAAGTATGTAGTACGAGTTTGATCATAGTAATGAACCTTGTAATAATAACTGGTTATAACGATTATCTGGGTAACTAGTGTTGGGCGAAAGGCCTCTGTTGTCATTCTTTTTAGCTCGATTACTGTTGAACCCTCCTTATCAGTGCATTAGGAGATCAGGCACCAAGTGAAAAAACTTTTCAAAAAATGAACTTGTTCAATAATGTGACACTTTTTATGAGTGCGGCATTATTGAAAAGTTCACGTTTTGAATAAATCGAACTTGTTCAATTATGTTTTTTTTTTCAAACAAAAGGCAAATGCGCTTTTTCCAAACAACGGAAGCGGCAGCACCATTTTCTGAACGAACTGGAGCGGGGCCCACGGCGATGTGAAGGACTCGGTTGAACCTTCTGAAAATCTCAAGACTTTGAAAGGCTAGCTCAGTCCTATACATAGATTACTGTAACGGAAATACATGACCACTTACATCAATAATCTGTACAATCTGTCCAATAAATAATCCAAGAAAATAGGCACATCTGGTAGATGACGTCATCAGAAAATTGAAGACAAATGTTCGTTTGAGGTGAAAAAATTTCGATCGTGCCCATGGAACTCATCAATTTGACACATTTGTTGTTCACTGCTGTCATTAAAAAAACTAGTAATCCATCAATTCTTGGATGGAACTTCGAAGCATTGCTCTGGATTCATTCAAGAGCATATTCAATTTGTTAGCGTTCGATGGCCGCTGTAGCATTTGAAATACTCTTGTTACTTCAGTAAGCTATTCTATAGTTGATCTGAACTGAGTGAGTCCTTTTTCACAGTCCCTTCAAAACATCCTACTGGATATTTAAAAAAAACCTTTTTCTTTATCAATTGAGACTACTTCGTTCTTATTTTATTTTAGTTTATGCTTAGCGATTTTGAGTTGGACAGTATAGAGCGAACTCGACCATCACCCTCATTCATGCATAGGAATGCAACCAATCCGATTACTGTAAAAAGTCGCCATGACTGGATAACTGCCCCATAGCGAACTATTTTCATACAGAACATTCATCATTGTAGACATTTATGAAAAGTTCTACTCCGTTTTGAATGGTGTAAACAGAGCTTTGTAAACAACTACAAACATGAGGAAGAGGGGAACTGTCGGTTGTAAATCTTCCGTAATGCTCAATCAATTGAAGTCTCAATAGGACCACAACCGCTTTGGGACCCTGGACGGGTACGTTTTGGTCGGCAACTGACGAGGGGTCACCATACTGAAGGCATTTGCTCCAGGATACTTCCCCTTAGCTTTCCGGAGTACCAAGTTAATGACTCCCGTACCCTCAAAGCTGGTTATCGGTCTCTCGATTGAGATCCATCTTTGTCCAGCTCCAAATGGTGCTCATCTCTTCCAGCCACTGAGCTAGTTCACTAATTGACCCTCTTCATGATCTTCATCGAAGAAATGGAAACATTCTGCAGCTCGAAGGCTGGAAGCAACTTTGTTTTGAACAATTTAAGAAAATCCATGACATTTACATGGTCGAATAAGGCTTCCATCGCTTTCCTACCATATGAAATACTGACACGTTGACAATTCAAAATAAGCTGTACTGGTAAAGGGGCCCATTTAGGAGGTTGATTTTTGATAGTTGCACTTTAAGGACCACAAATGGCACCAAGAAGTAATTTATCTGCAGATCCTTTGAACTCGGGAGCAGGGAGGGAGGGAGCAAGGGATCCTGCATAATGAATTATGCAATTCGCTTGAAAACACCCAATTATCTATCAAATATGAGCAAGACCTTGAAACCTTACATTCTGCTTGTGCTGCTTCCCAACTGAAGGAAAGGGGTTGAGGCTGATAATTATAAGTGTTCTGATATAATTGTAACTGTTGAATCAGCCTACATGGCTCATAAAAATGGCTAATGAGCAGTCTCCAGATGATATGTCGATTGCTGTTTGAGTGCTGTCGAGGTAAAGCCAAAAGGGAACTTTCGTATTGTTTTCGCTATTCGCCTAATTCATTGGGACAGGTCCGGAAGTTGCTTTACAGAGAGTGTGCTAGCAGTAGGTATAAACATCATTCGAACAACAGCAGAAATGTGACGTTGACGTATTTATATTGAATTAGAAACGAGGAGGTGCACATAAGAAATAAAGAGCTCTTGAGAGCTCTGACGGCTTCGGCTATCCCGGATTCATATCTCGGAAGTGAAGCACATGAGAAAACTGCAGGGAATGGAAACTTAGTTACATTGACTTCTGGCATGCTCATTTTTATCATTGGATCACCTATTATTCCAATATACATTAACTCCCCACTTTTCTGTCGATACGTACTAGTTTCCACTACTAGTAATTGTTCGCTGCCATCATACGGGGTTAGGTTGAATTCAGTCCCTGAATATCCAGGAAAATCACACGTACCAGTTTTGGGAGGACAACAGCGATTTCCGTGAATTTTAGGAAGTAAGTTAAAGTATGGCTGTGGGCGAAGGGAACATTAATATTATATATACATGTATATATTATGTATATTATATTATAAAAACGACTGGATGACCAGAGTGAAGAAACAGAAATGAAAATCGGAGGGACAGCTAAAGGAAGAAAATCAGTACGAGTCAACTTATTGATAGACTGGGAGGATAAGCGAGTAGTAATGAGTACTGGGATTGTCGTGGTCCAAGGAAGCATAAACAACTCAAAAATAAGACTAACTATTAGGTTGATGCATAATTATTGCGGATTTTTTTCAACAAGTTTATTTAACGAAACGATAAAAATACTGAACAAAAACATGTTCAAATAATTACTCCCAAACTTATCCACCATATACGTCAAGTACTGCTTCCCATTGGATAGAAAGTCGGATTCCAAAAGCGCGAAGAAGTTTTGATCCTTGGGGACGATCCATGCCTTGATATCGGCTATCAAGTCATCCAAATGGACGTAATCTCTATTCCCTAGCCATTTTTTCAGTGAACGGTTGACGAGGTAATCCGTAGAAGTTTGTGCTGTTTAAAATATGGCAGATTCAGTAGCAGATCACATTACTTGGTTGGCTTTAGCTGATTGTTCCATCGCCAAAAAGTTACTGAGTTCGTGGAATGACTCTGCCACCTTCCAACTTTTCTCGAAGTAGTAGAGCCTAATTTCGCGAAGATGCGAATGGTTTTCTAAGCGAATTTTTGTAGAGGAAATCAAGCAGATCATTTCTAAAAAAACTCAAACCCAATATTCAAATTCTATTCAAAATTCAAATTCGCGAGAAAAAAAGCCGCGAAAAAATCCGCAATAATTATGCATCAACCTAATACTCCATAGCCATTGAGAAACGCATAGGTTGGACTTTTTCTTCACATTTTAGTTCGGATGATTATGTTCATTTATACCGTAACCTCTAATCAATAAAAGATTGGAGGGGTCGAAAGACAAGTTCGAAACTTCATGCAAACTAGTTACTGAATTCTTTAACTTCATTTAGCATTTAGGGACCAGTTTTTTGCGCTCATTTGAAACAATCACGATGTAATAGAGTTGCTTGCTACGCCATATGAGTGCCAATGACTCGAAGGATACGCCGGAAGTAGCGCCACAGTCTGCGGAGCGCGGTAGATCAGTTTCCCTTCAGATTGACAGACCAAACCGCTTCCACCGCGGTACTGGCTTATCCGTGAAGGGAAAGAATGAGAGATTTTTTGTTTCTACCAACTAAATATCCATTCAAAGGTTTTCGCTGCTAATCGTAACCCAAGGAGTGAGCGGATTTTGTCCGCTTGAGCGGTGGAACCTTGGGCTTTGAAAAAGACGATGGGGTCGAGACGTCAGGCGATGAATTAATTGATAAATTGTTCCGCCCAAAAACCTTGCATGCCACAAAAATATAACGATCACCCATTCAAATTAATCTACGATTTGCGAAGGAATTCGCATGTTGAGCTAACCATAAAGGATTCGTTCAAAACTGAGCGTTTTTTTTTATTTTGATCCTCGAGACTTTTTAATCGATACATAAAAGTAACATTTTTCCCTGTTCGATTGAATCATTTTCAGATAATCGTCATCAATATGACATTTGCCGATCTGCTCATGTGTTTGTGTTACATGCTTACCAGGCCGTATCTGAACTACTTTCCAAAAGTTTTATGTCATCCATATTACGTCACGATATGGACGATACAACTTGTCAGCTGCCTTAATTTAGTTTGGTGAGTAATGTGTCGGTGACAGGCCTATAGGCCCTCCATGGTTCAAGACATCCAACTTCTTAGTCATAGCCAAGTACATTGTATTGTACTAGAGTATGTAGTATGAAGTAAGACAAACAAATACAAGAGATCTGATACACTACAGGGCATACTGCATTCCACAAAGACGCTACAGTAATTTACAAGTATATAATACTTATTAAGTACGCATTAGTAGTTCCGAGTTGAAACGAAGTGAAACAAGAGGCTACTGAGCGACTACCCAGAGTGATTGGAGCTACGATGATGGGCGCTGAGGAATGCTGAAAAGTTAGAAGTTTCAGGAAAATAAATATCTTCGCGGTCTGCTTATTTACTCTTTACAAAGCAAATCATGATCGGAATTCCGCTCCAGCCTATCAAAGTATTCTCGATAGAAAAAACAAGCAACATACAGATTGCTATCTTTTCTGCTCAATAGGCGTCGCGGTGAACCTTCATTTTGGCCCAGTCTTTGACGAAGAGCTGCGAAAGAAGTAGTACAATGCCATTTCGGTTTCTTGATATTGAACCCATTTTCGGCTCTTGACTGCTCTGCTCCCAAGAAATTGCATTTTGTAGCTGCTTGAACCCTACATAGTTTAGTTCTTATGCGTGAAAAGATTTTTGCAGACATCGGATTCCTTCATGGAAATGCCAATTTACTTGCTCTCAGGAACCTTTTTTTTGTAATGTTAGCAATCAGGGCAGCCTTTGTTCTCTGTTCATCTGCCCACGGACCCTTACTATTAGGGAACTGAACGGACGTCTTGAAAAAAATCGAAAAATCTGAGCTAGTTCAAGGTTACTAAAGAGGATCAGAAGCCTTTCAAATCTTCTTAGGAACCACGATTCTTGTGAGCTTCACTGACTTAGTAGGAGAACAATGGCCAGAATAAGATAAGATAGAATCTGGTTTATATCAGCAGTGAAAGGTCAAGGAATTAAGAAAACCTTAAAGCCAATAGGTGAATTTGGGTGATACGAGGAAGTAAGCGTTTGTAAGGAAGTGTCGATTACTCCCTCGCAAACGTTTCGCCCCTCATTATGCTTTGACGTAATGGTGATCCTATTTCCTTGTCGCTTTTTCGCTTACATCATCGAATCTACCGTCATTACTAGCAACCTAATCAACAAGTGATAAGTTTTTTTCACAATTTCCATCGTTTCCGCTAATGCGGAAAACTGAGGAATGTTTTTATCACGTGAAAAAAGTCGATCCCATGCTAGAACGATCAATAGGATTCAACCACTGGGTAGCGACCATACAAATTTAACGGCTTTGACTAAGAGTACATTGTGATGGATCTGTATCCTCTCAGGTAGCATTTAAAAAGCTTCATTTACCAAAACTGTATGTGTTAAAATACTTAGAAATTAAAGTAATAATGGGTACCGATACAACTGGAAAGTTGCACCACTACATTATGGAAAATGAGGAACGAGCAACAGTTTTTGGGTGTAAATGATGATAAGATGTGTTGGTAGAGTAGTGGAAGAGAAGAGAAGGGATGGAGGATGGAAAACGGTGTGTCGACCTCGGCGAAGGTCACCACCCAGAAACCCAGCCGTGTCACTATTGCCTACCCTAGGCATTGGTTGACCCTGCAAATAATTTTACGGGTACCGTGAACATTCTGTACTCTGCTACGACCCTGAATGAAGGTCCAATGCGGGGCCCAACCTCGAAACTGAATTGGTCGACTAAAGGAAGTTTTAATCTCAAAATTTCTACAAAAAAAATTATGTCTGGTCGGGGTCGCGTGATGAATAAGACGTTTTGATCATCACATGCCGACAGAACCCATTCTCCTTCGGGTGTCTGTCATTGTTCGATTTCCTCGACCAAAGCGACCTCCCAGTCCATTTGTGACAGAACATAGCTGAACATTGCCTGCTCTGCTCATTCAATTTAGTAATTTGTTCTTTAAACCCTTATTAAATCGAAATTCTCTGCATTACATCCACCGGTCCAGTAATTGACAATGATTTGAGGGGAAAGGCATTTGAGGTGATTTTTCAACATTTTTCTTGTTTCAATTTTTCCACCTGAGCTCTTCATTATTGTATTGCTGAAATTTAGGCTGAATGTTGATAAACTAATATTTATTCAATTTCCTCTTCACTATTACTCGATCATCAACCGAAGGAAAGTGTTCATCGTCTCGGTAGTCACATGGATCGTGCTCGGCTATATTGCATTTGCTGTCAATGCATTCATGACTATATCGGTCAGTTACAACAATTATATTACAATATGAGCTGAATTAGTAATTTTGCTTTACCATTTTCTCAATTTTTTTCAGTTTACGTAAATGTTTGTTCATTTCAGGGAGGTTGTGATCGAGTCATTATCAATCCTTACATTTACATGCCTATTTGTGTGCTATATGTAGTCATGATTCTCACTTCATTTATTATTTCTGCAATTATTTACTTTATCGCTCATACATCCACAAGGTCCGAAACACGACAAAGAACGGTTCGTTTTATTAACGTTTTCTAAGGTCTCGCCATAAATGCTTAAAATCACCGTAACAATAAATAGTAGTGTCATGTACTTGGCGGCTCTGATACCTGACCACGTTTCTACTTGAATTAGGATTTGAGAAAGAACTGGTATTCCGTTAAGCCGTTGTCAAACACGGGTCATGAGGTACCAAAGTCAAGCGCGGAAGTGGGTCACCGCGCGCGGTATTCACGCCTTCGAAGCCAATTGGCAAGTTTAACCACTGCAGTTTATAAACTTTGTTTAGAAATTGTTCCATCGTCTCTTTTTCTTGTTTTCGAGTACGTTATGGACATTCTTCACGTGCCTACCCTACCGTATTCTATATCTGTTGAATTTTTTGTGTGAGTTCCTCTTCACCGTTTTTCTAAAATATCTATGAAATGTAATCTTGAGTAAGGAACAAGAGTAACCGGTTATACGACCCGTACAATAATGTAGCAAATGCCACAAGAGACTCTTCCTGCATGTGCGCAAATTTGTCGCTGACAGTGAGCGGAAAATTCGCACACTCACCCAACACTGTAGACCAGGGATTACCAAAAGCGTTATAAGATGCAGGGTAATCGGAACTGGCGCTGCGATCATGTGCACCTTTGTAATGACTGCTAACTTGAAAGGTGTTTCAGCAAGTAAGCCAGATGTATGGGGTATTTCATAGTTCGAAGCATATACGTTCTGTAATCTCCGGCGCTCTGTCGCCTACGATCGCCGAAGCGATGTCACTCAGGTAATAGAATTTCCCACAACTCGTGCACTCGTGCGCGGATAACTGTCTTAATCATCCCTGGGCCTCGCCTTCCCCACTCTCCCGGGCGGATGTGGTGCAGTTGGTTCGAAGTTCTTCGCGCGCGGCGAGTGTGAAGTCGTGCGCCAAGAAATGCAGCAGAATGCAACAGCAGGTAACAAATAAGGAACAAACGAACTATCATTAGAATCATGCCTAAAATAATGATCGCATATCGATTGAGCTGTATGAAGAACGACAGAGTTGTAATGACGGCGAAGCGAATGGTCCGCCACTATTACAGCTCTAGCCGCATGCGGCAAATCGATTGCACAAAACCGATCCTACCGCCCGTCTCCCCTTCCGGTTCCCTATTCATTGCATGTATGAATCCACACCGCTATCATGACGATCGACAAATTTTAAAGCTTGTTCGGTCGTTGCTAACTATAAATCACGGTTTCATGGTATTGGAACCTTCAAATTGACCGTACGCGGAAAAGTCGGGAAATACTCGAGAACTGCTTAACTATTATGAGAATTTTGCCGTTTACTAGGCAAAAAAAGCAAAAAAGTAGAATTCCAGGTGCACCATGTCGATCAGAAATGGTTCATCAAATGACAGACGCTTTCTTCCGTATACTGGTTGTGGGGATGGTGATCAACCCGTTGATCACCATTTGGACTCAGCGAATCTATCGAATGCACCTTCTGAAGTTCTTCAATAAATGGCAGGATACCCGAGACGACACGGAAGTCAGCGTAAGACGGCATTCCACTAAATTGAATATGGTGGAATCGACGCCGTTAACTACTGCTTTGTGATGTTACAATAATAATTTCAAAACTGGTTTCTATTTATGTTTACTTTAGTGCCGTACTGTATGATGAACAGCATTAGGTGAGAATGTAGCTAGGGGGTGCCAGCGCTCTTCCGTCCCGTTTCTGCGTCTCTGACCCAGGCGGCAGAGTACCCAGAGCCCGCTCTGGAGCGCGGAAATGGCCTCTTAATAATGGTAGGGAATGTATTTTTTAACAAGGGGAGGAGCTTCGGGGTGAATGAGAAGCAAACGTAGTGCGAGGACAAGACCAGTTTGCGATAAGGTAGAAAAAAGTGGAGTCTGTTAAACTTGAGGAGTTTGACTGCAATAGGTCGATTGCGCACCGTGGACGTACCGACTAGAGTTGTTATTAATGAGCTATTCTAAATCATTTCAAGTTTTTGCACAACATTTACTTCTCATCCACCCGGAGCTCCTCCCGCTGTGAAAGAATACATTCTCTATCACGGCCATATCCGCGCTCCAGTGCGGTCTCTGGGTACTCTGCCGCCTGGGTCAGAGACGCAGAGCAACGAGACGGAAGGGCGCTGCCACCCCCCAACTACATTTTCACCCAGCATTAAGCATTGTTCTCTCCCACGTAATGGAAACCCTAAAATCCTTTCACCCGGTACCTTGTACAGGTGATGCTTGATATTGTATAACTTTGCTACTAATAACTATCAAATTTCTTGGTTGTATATAAGCCCTGAACAGAGAATTATTTATTGGATCTCTTTTTTTTCCTGAAATCGTGCAGTACCAACTGTTCATATCTCCATCATGCATATACGGCTGCTTTCACATATTTGTCATTTTCGTTTATGTATAACAGATACCATAATCGATACCCATATTTTACATTAGCTACGTGCCGTTAAGAGTGAATTTCGCATAATAGCTTTATCGCTTTTTACTACGAACCCTTCCACATTTCTAAGTCTATGTTCTTCCGGTGAGCTTCCAGAATCTGACTGGTTCCAGGAAGTCTTTCTTCCAACATATTCTCTTTCATTTTCCAATAACTTGACACTTGCTTTTTTCTGACCTGTGTGTGTTTACTTTATTTGCGACCAACTCTTAAAAATCGATCAACTTGTACGGAACAAACAAAGCCAAACAGAGCTTTAAAGTTTCAAAATGGGATTGATATATTGAACTTGATCTTTAGGAATGGGTCACCAGGTGCCATTGGGTACATCGTTAACCGGTGAAAATGTTTTAGTGGACATTGCATTATGCTTTGGCCCTCGTACGCCATTCGCTAGAGCCTGAAAAGGTTAGGGCGCCGTTTTTGCAAGTCGGTAATGGTGTTAAGATTTCGAGCCAGCCAAGGAGATGTAATCTTTAAGCCCGAACCTAAGGGGGTGGGGGAAGCCATCGACGTGATTGAAATGGTGATAAGGAATTTTGTAATGAAAAAGCAACTGGTCAGCAGGATAATGTCTCATTGAAAAGCGCAGACAATCCGTGAAATTAACTGGCCTCCCCAACTACACTTTCAACCGCTAACCTTTTGGGGCTATGGAAAGAGTTCCAGAGAAAGAAACTTCCGCGTGTGGGATGAGTTTTCGGTGACGTTTGAGTCAACGGATTAACCGGTAAAACCGAGTAAATATTTGTGGGGCATGTTGAGAGTGGCATGGCGCGACATTCCAATAACCAGATGGTAGCCCTATCGAGCTACAGAACTAACTACTGCCTATTTCCTAGGCAGGAAAGAGTAATGCTAGAACTTATTTCCATGCGACCTAGATGTTATCGTTCGGAAAAGACTAGTTGATGCTCTTGGGCTTCTCATCACCTCGTTTTGCCGACGATAAAAGAGCAATATTAAGGTTTTATGATAAACCGACAATGCAGTAATTATAACACTGGATAAGATTTTGATAGTGAGAGAGCGTATCTCGTGATATGGAGTTATAAGCCATGAAAATGTGCTTCATTTACAAAGAGACATTCGATGCCATGAGACCTACTATCCGCAATGGCAGAGGGGTATCGCACATAGTGCTTGCCGTAATCGCAACAGCCCCTTTTCAAAAAAGGTCAATACCTCGAATTTCAGAGAGAAAAGAACTAGTTAGCAAATTCATAGCAAGAATCATTCGAGTGAATTTTTCAGGTACTTGAAACAGGTCAAAGATAGGAAATTTTAGAGATTCATGAAATATTTTATCGGATCTCAGTCAACATAAAGTCACAGTCTTCTTCGGGTTGTAGAATTAGAAGAGTAGTTTTCAGAAGCCTAGGATCGCGTGCCATCAGTTGATCCAAATCTCAATCCATCCTTTTAAGAAAAAACTATTTCAAACAAAAGGAACTCATCAGTTCAGAAAATGGCCCATGAGCACACTCACATTTTTATTCCTGTTCTTCCCCTCGTCATGCTTGGAGAGTTACTTCTTCCACTGGTACAGCTTTGCTCTTTTCCTGAAATTGGGAAGCCTGCAGAAATGGATTTTCGGAAAAACTCTGGCTCAAGTGCAAATTTTCTGAAATTAAGTACAAGTCGATCGCTTCGGTTCCCCTCATTGATTGCAACCCCCTCTCCATATCCCTGTGACCCCTTAGTTTACACTTACAGGCTTCAGTTAACGTACGGACAGGCAACAGTTACAAGTGCTGAGTGGTGCCAACTTCCAATTCAGCTCTCGACTCATTTGTCTTCATTCTAACAGTTTAGAACAGAGATGCAGAGGCGAAGTGATGAAAGAGAGCGCAGACGGCGAGACGAATTTCGAGGTCTCTGAGACGCCGCGCAGCCCAAACACAGCCGACCAACACGTCCATTCAGTGGCGTCACCTTCTTCTTTTTGGCGTTGAGCCAGAACTTTTGCGAGCCTTATTCGTTCACTTCTCACCTAGATTTCCTTAACCCGATTCCCGTATTTTTCTGAGCCGTAATCGATATAGAAGTTTCGTAATTTCAAAATCGTTATAAGCTCACCGGGGGCAATTGTTTTTCAACAGGAGAGCAGCGATAATAAGCTGTCGTTTCAATTATATACGAATAGAACCGATAAATTATAATGAAAAGGTAGATTTTAAGAGTGGTATACCATATGCAGATGAATACTTTGATGGCTACTTTTGTACGGAAGAACATCAAAGTAGTCTCATCGTCATCTAAATTGGATGTATTTTATGGAAAAAATGGGCAAAATTAGAATTTCCGCAATCGATATTCAGATGCTTTTATTCCCTGTTGTAATTTAATTCAGCCTGAACATACCTTTCCAAGATGGGACGAGGTTAACAAAGGCAATGACCACCAAGAACGTTATATACAAAATAGTTCTAGCTGCTAGACCACACAGGTAGCAAGCGATGTAGGAAGATCGAAATTGCTTGACTCCTTTCAATAGGAACAGCACAAACACTGAAATTAAGTAGGATAGATTTGACCCCTGATCGCTCATTTGGTTTACGGTGCGCTGAGTCATCTAAGTAAGATGTGGCGTGCGGCGAGACAACTAGCTAGAAATGCTCAGACATAGTGCACGGATAGGGTCCAACGCTTTACTACCTATTTGCGAGAAAGTGAATAAAAAGCCAATAATGATAACAGCTTGTGAGAAGCCATTCGTAACAGCTTGAGCTGCCCAATAGGATAGTTGAGAAGTGATCCAAACCATTTCAGCGTAAGCCAGCCATACTACACCAGTCTGAAAACTACCGCTGAAATTCAATTTTTGGTGCAAACGAAACTCTCAGTAACCAACCCGTAGCTGCATTATACGAAAACAGCATAGCGACGACGGCAATTTGTAATGATCAGGATAAACCCCGAATGTTTGTGAGGAAAGACTTCGTTCCTTGGGCAAATTCATCTGAAAGGGAGCTTTTGAGGACATGGATGATACTGGACTTAGGAAGGTTTACAAGAAATAACATTCAATAACACAAATAAATAATTGTTGCAAAATATTTTGTGACTTTCAGCTTTACTTTTTTTACTCTCTCTGTGTAGAAGTTAGGCACAGATGTCAATGAGCTTTTTAAAAAGGCCATTTCAAGCTGTAATTGCCATATTTGCAGGTGAGTGTGAGGATTTCAAGATAGTGACAAGAATCAAATTCCTTCTCATCCCGCCTATCTGATAGACCATTGTATAGATCAGGTACGCATTCAACTACTTCTGCGATATCTATGGAAGCGGAATGCACAGGGTAACACTGACCATGAGACTCCCGAATCGCACGCTGAGGCGAAATAACAGCAGTAAAGGAAAAAGCAACAGCTTAAACAGCACAGCAACAGTTTGAGTTATGGTAGGATGAAAGTGTTCCAGTTAAATCGAGGAGTCTTGAAAACAATAAAAACTAAAGAAATGTTTGAGGGATGGTTCGAGTAAAGATTACAGAATGCCGGCTCGGGAATACGAAATGGAAACTGCCCTGAATCGGGCTGTTATCCCAGTATGAGGGCCAAATAAGCCGGCAAATGAATTTCCAGCTCTGCGCCCAGACATCATGGATGATACATTCATAGCTAGAGGGATTAATAAGACGAATGTGAAGCATTAGCTTGCATTAACCCAAGAAAACACTCAAGTGCATCATGGGCTGTTAGTTATGTAAAATATCTTCTAAATATGTCACTCAATTCATTATTTCTTTAATTGAGAGTTTCCATTATATTGATGGCTTCCTCATGCTTAATGCAGGACTCATGTGCCCAACTACGCACTTCCCATTTGGTTCTTTCAGCTTATACATGGAAATTTGGGAGCTAGTCGATGTCTAATTTACTTATCTTTTTCTGGCACGGACGTAAGCCCTCTCTGCCAAAGCCGAGAGCCTCGGCCTCATTTCGCAGCTAAGAAACCTGTCATAATGCCTCTCAGAAATGGCAGACATGAGGCTTGCCAGGAAAGGATTTGATGAGCCCCGGATAATGAAGCTTTACCTGAACCAGACTGAATAATGGGAGTGCTATCTATAGGATGCTCTTAAGATATTTACCTAATTTTGACGAAATTTGTAGAAATTCACAAATTCCCCTCGAATAGAGTAGCAATGGATATTTGATGTTCCTAGGGCATTTATGAGTTTGGTGATCACCAGGTAGTGTCTATGATTTGACGACTGTCTGCATTTGACGGCAGATAACAAGCTAAGACAAAAACTTTCAAAAAAATTACAAAACTCAAATACTGAGCAGTATTCAGATTACAGAGATACGATTTAAATTGACTTTTCAGCTGGAATTCTGTTTGAAAGCGCTTCTCGAAGGAAGTCGTGAAAAACAATTGTCCGTATGCCAGATGTGGCCAGACAAAGTTGATAAACAAAATGATTCATTTAAAGGATTTAATTCTATTTAAACGATTACAAACAGATGCGAGAGAGGTTCAAAAGAGTGAAAAATCAATTTAAACTTGGTTAGAACTGTGAAACTCGGACTGTGTGTGTTTGACAGCTTCCTTGGTGTGAACTATAAGCATTCATTTTCTACAATGCTTCCAACCTCACGTTTTTGTCCTTGGACTTTAACTTTACCTTACTAGAGCGACTTGTTAGCTGCAAAAAATTTGCTATAATTTCCTAAATTCTTTGTAGTTGACTGGTATCGCTGAGAATCGTTCTGAGCGTGATTCAATGAAAAAGAACAATGAAAAGCATCGTATTCTCGGTTTGCCCTTTTTGATGTTGTCATCAATTGAACCTAATGGCCCGCCACACGTTTTCGCGGGGGGCAGTCCAGAACTGCGGCCTGCCAGCCTGTGCGGTGGTTTTTGGAAAGTATTCCTTCACATTTTTTACTTCTTCATCTCATGTTTTCTACTTTCTCTAATTTCTCCGTTTCAAAGTCATTCTTAGATGAAATCCTTTCCTATTTATTGCTTCGACATAAGCCGTCATGAATCTCTGTGAATAATGCACATGCGTTCGCCCTCCTAGAGTGCAGTTGCCCTTGGGATAATCCAAATTGGAAACGTCACGAGGAAATGGAACTAAGTATGAGGTTATAATAAGAAGTGATAACAAGCCGTACCTAGAGATGTCCTGTAAATTCATAATTCTCTAAAAATTTTTGATAAATTTCGAACTCTCCTGATCCAACGGTTTGACAGTCATATCGCTCACCTTGGACCGAATAGCTGCAAGAGCCTGAGCCAGAATATCAAGTGCTCTCTGAAGAGTCAGCATAGTGAGTAAAAGTTTTGACGGAAGCGCAAGCCGTTTGACATGGAATATGACTTTTTGATTGAGTAAACATAACCAGTCAATTACTCAACTGAAAGCTCTCTATGAATTATGTATGGGCTGTTGCGAAAAGTTGGCCGAATACTCAAAAAACCATTTTCTCCCTATAATTAAACTTCTGGTCTGCCTTTCAGTGGCCCACTGATTTATTTTTGGCTAACAAGCCTTTCCCTCTCTTTCTTCTTTTCTATGAGTGTGAACTTGCTTAATGAGGGGAAGCATGTGAGTGCACTTTTTTTTCTAAAGAACTCCATCGTGAGTAAGTGATTTTTCAAGAAATGTCTTTTTATGAGTACATTCACTATAACAAATTGTTTATTTGTGCAAATTTGATAAATTATCCTGAACTTTATACTTCATTTTTTGAGCGTATTTTGTGAGAGCATGTCAATTTGTGCGAAACATTCCTGACGTTGTAGGTGGAGTTGGCAGATGTCCATGGTGATGAGCTTCATGAATGTGTTCGTTCAGCCAGTAACAGTTTACCTCACCTGGAGTAAATCTTGTAAAGTTATGATGTGGTAATTTCATATCATTAAGGTAATTTAACTATGACTATGAATATCCGTTCTCCAGTAGACACTATTCGGACTCATTCGAACCCTTCTGAATGATTGTGAATTGAATGAATAACTTATTTGAGCTAAACCCCATACCGTTAGAGTGGCCTGAAACGAAAGTACCGAACCGTCTTTGAAAGCAAGAAACAAGGCAGGAATCCATCGAGTCAATTTGGACAGGACCCATCAGATTTCTTACTGCCATGGTTGCATGTCTCCCTATTAGGATTATGGTAACATTGAAGGTCTGGTTGGAGAGCCTCCGATGGGTCAGTTAGTCCCCTTGACCGACTCATCATGGGTTCCTAAGTGGAAGGGGTAGAGGAATTCAGCCTCCTAGCGCTCTTGCCACACCGTAGAGTGGCGGACTCTATGTCAGAATTCTCACAAGCGCAGGCACGCACGCTTTAAGCCTTCGAAAGTAGACACAAGACACTAGACTGCAGTGACCGTGGCCACCGACAGAAACCGCGCCCCAATCAACCTAATCTGACCCATGGATTGTGTGTTCTGACCCTGTGGGCGTGGCTATCGCGGCACTCCGCTCGGGCGTGAATGTCCACGCCTTTGACCACTGTAGCCCATAGAATGGTCATCTCAATGTTGAATTCGAAGAGCTCCATAGACCCAGTCACACAATTTCCCAATTTTGTTGGGTACCATTAATCAAAAGGTGATCTGAAGTTATATTCAGAAGTGCGAGACGAAGCGTTACCTTTTCCTTTCACTTGAACAATCCCTCGCTTTACCAACGAGTACTCATTGGTATTCATCAGCCTCAATGCGGTCACCTCACTGGTCTGAATCTGATTGGGTGGACAGTTGGACTGCATACGGGATGCGAAGTTAACCTGAAAGCCAGCCAGTAACTCAGCAAATTGTAATCAAACACTCAACAGACGAAATTCTACCGTGTCTCCGAATAGGCAATATCTCGGTGACCGTATTCCTATGACTCCTGCAGCAATCGGTCCACAATGGAACCCTATTCGAACACGCACTTTGAAATCCGGACAATGGGGGACGACATACGTGTAGGACTCCTCGAATAAAGTAAAGATACGTTTAATCATGGGAGAATCAAGCCGACGCTGACCAGAAAACTCGAACTTACTACTTACATTTACCGAGATTGAACTAGGATTAGTAAATTCCAATCTTCTCTAGGTTGTCCAAAAATTGCGGTATAACCTCACCTCTCTGATGTCCAAACTGCACTCAGCTATTTCGATGATATGTCGTCCTTCATTCTCATTCGGCACTCCTGATGCCACCATGTATGTCTCACCCGTAGTTTCGACCTTCAATGAATGAATTACTATTTGGTAGCTCTTTGAAGTGATTCGATGAAGCAGAAAAACCTTGTAGGCATCGTGTTTCTTGATGATTGTGTCGAACCGGTCAAAGATGTCGTTAAGGAAGGTGATTACCTAAAAACCGACTCTATGTACTGAATGACCCAGCGGTGTGTCTTCTCTTACCTCATCGGACCTGCTCTTCCTTACTAGTGCAGGAAAATCGCAGAGTTGTACGAAGCATACGGTAGCTGCATCATAACTCCGGGGAGGTATCGTGCCGCCTTCTTTCAGAACTGCCGCGATGGACCTAATGACCACGATATATACGGAGCAACGAAAACTGCCGGTTTTCCCATGTATAAACAATTTTTTTGGAAAACATGATTCTCCTGGAAATTTTCAACTCACGCTGGAAGCATTTCATTCAGAAGGCGATTGGTTTGCTCTTGAGCCTCCTGTAGCATAGCATTCCGTTCTGCCACAATCTGTTCGAGATTCTGCGCATATTTTTCGTTCATCCGTAACATTTGGTCCACCAGGTTTCCTTTCCTGGATTTTTACTTGTTTCTAATCTAGTAGATGTAATATGTATATAATTGATGCCCCTATAAGACGTACGAAGTTGAAAATGCTTTGTTCACAGCTGTCAGAACGTTACGCAGACTTGGTCTTGACTCAGCAGCGGTCGTGTAGCATTCCTTCATGAGGCGAGCCAGGGCCTAAATAAAGTTGTAATGTGAATTATAGAAATCTGGCACGAAGGTAGGTCTGCACTGAGTGTGAGTAGAGTAGTAGTAGTAGTAGAAAAAAGGAAATTGAATTTTCTATAATAGTAGCAAGATTAAGAGATCAGAGGGATGAGGCGCATGGGATCGGTCGGTAACCAAGCATCAAGGTTGAATTACAACTTTGGATTTATTCAGAAAATTTGAAACTGCATGGAAAGCGAATGAAGCATATCCAGGTGGGATGATCCACTAGAAAGTAACAGTACTGTATGGTTTCGGCCAGAAAATTACTACAGGATCAAGATGTGGTTAGAAAAGGATATGTGAAACTCGTACCTTTTGATCAGGTGATCCATCGTAATCGTCCGCTTCAGGTTTGAGGCGGCGCTTGAGGATTTCGGCAACGAGCGCTAAACTTTACCCATTATTTTCCGACGTCTGCCTCGTCTTTTTGTAATAGCCTCATTTTAAGGTCTCACTGCGTAACTCTACGTACTTGCTTTTTTGACCATTCAGTATGAAAATCTAAGCACTCAGAAGAGCTTGACATTTTAAATCTCACCTTTGCCCCGAAGGCCCGTTTTGGCGAAAGGATCTTCTCTGTACATTAACCAGTATAGTATCATGCCTAAACTGTAGATATCGCCTTGTGGCGAACCACGAGGATAGTTATCACCATTTCCAGTCTCTTTGAGCAGTTCCGGAGCAAACATCGGAAAATCTGAACAGTCAAACTGGATTTTCTGCGAAGTACCTAAAATCATTGGCTGAATGAGGGGTTTTACAGACAGCTCTGGTGGTTCAGTGCTTTTTACAGGTTCATGATGGTAGAAGTGCTAGCCAGTACCATGGAATAGAGGCCTTACGAATATTCTTACAAGAGCTACCTCTTTTACTGGTAATGTTGTAACTTACAATCGGGATTGAGGTGGTATTCTGGCATGCACTGCAACACTTTGTCGGCGACGAGCTCATGCAGCATACTGGCCACTCCAAAGTGTGTCAGCTTCAGTACCCAGTTGGAATCGACAAGGCAATTTTTCGTTAACAGCAGTCCATGGTAGCGTATTGGAGACTTGTGAAGGTACTGTAGCCCCTGAAATGTTATTTCTCTTCGTTACGGTAGTTGACGTTCCGCCCAGTTCGGGGTTTCGGCAAACATCGCTGAAGGCTTAGAAAATTAAAGTATCATCACCTCCAATTGATACTCGCTGATAGTTCAATTTCAATTTGAGGTGGAAATAATGACTAAAAAGTTCAGAGAGATGCACTTACCTTTAATATATCTCTCAAGAACGCCGATCTGAACAAATCATCAATGGGGAAATCTGGGTCTTTGATGAAGTCCTGCAATGAACATTGCATCGATACTGGTACAACATCAAAAGTCTCCCTATTGTCGTGTTTATGAAAAAGTCGCGAAACAAACCTCAAGTGAAGCACGATCAATAAGAGCATAAAGAATATAGAAATTGTCAATCTCATTAGCACAAATCCCCAGAAAAGTGGAAAGATTGTCATGGTTGAGCTGTCGCATCTCGTAAAGGAATTTCAGTTCTGGCCTGAAAATGCACTCGTCTCATGAAATCATTTCATTCAGGAAATGATGTGACGTCGCTGAAAGAATCGTCCAGATACAAATGGTCGCTTCCTGTGAAAGCCTGTATTTATTATCATTTAGAAAAGGTGAGCTTTCAGTGTTTATCGCCTCTTTACGTCATGGTTTATACTTCGCAAAGAAGTATCGATTTTCCGCGCATCTGATCAACCACACTTGTTATGCAACGGAATAGGGTGTATATTGGAAAAGAGCTAATGTTGAGCATACAAAGGATGTAAAAAGTTAAACTAACTTTGTCCACTTGATCTTCTTTATGTGCTTTAGAGCAATGAACTCAGCCTTGTTACTTCCAAGTAATGCGTAAGAAACCACAGTACGTCGTTTACCAGAGATACCGTCACCAGCCTTCGATCCTTTGAAATTCGCCTCAAACAGGAAACAATTAGCCTTCGGTTATCTCACACTAATATCGGCTTATCGTAACTACAAAAAGTTGTTAACTCGAGTAACCTGTTTGTTTTCGATGATTTTCAGCTGGTCTTTGGTAACTCTCCAATGCATACGGTAGATATTCAGGCGATGCCTAGAAGAAAAATCGCTATATTTTCTTAAAATCCGATGGTGTTAGCGGTTATTTCAGGTTCCATTTAATTTTCGTTTCTCGCGAAAATAAGATCTACTTACTAGACTATTGCTCATGAGGGGGGCAATTCGTGACTTGTCTGATTCCCAGAAAAATACTTCAAAGCGGGAATTTTTTTTTTGATTCAACACCTTTGGACCCTACCCTACCCGTGAAGGCCTGTGCCTCACGGGCCAATTGAATATTCATTGGAGACATATAAATTTGCTAAGCGAGTATCTTTTTGGGTGGACATTTTTAGTCAGCATTCGCCTACTGGAACCTTGCAGTACCGCTTCGGTGCCTGAACAAAACTACGAACTCACCGTCGGCTAAATATGTATCCAACGATGATTGCAATAGCAGCTATTGTGCCGAACACTACGCCGAGGATCAGCCCTTGAATCAAATTTCCATTAATCAGGAACCTTAGTGTTTTTTTTATAAAAACCGAAAATGGTATCTCGACCACTGCGTACCGATGTGGTTTTTGCATCTACCCATCCGTAGACATTCCTGGATGACACCATCCTTCTTTTCAACGAGAATTCGAGAATCCACGATGCGAGCAGTCTGAAAGAAGCTCAGAGTCTCATGCTAGAAGAACGTTCTGGTAAAATCCAGAAGCTGATACATCAAAAAGAAAGCTCACAACGGTAAAGCAGGTGATGGCACTGCAAGGACTCGGTTGGGTGATTATTTCAAGGATGACGTTGTCTGAATATTGAGAAGGATTGGTTTTTACATTTAGTAAACTCATACATGACCATTGGCAAGAAAACAATCCTCTGAGTGTAACTTTGTTAATATGTCGGCTTATTTGTTATGAAATCATGCATGACTACCCGTTTAGGTATGGGTCAGGACAACCCGGCGGCCTGCCACCCTTGGCACGTGCACGCCCAACCGCAAGATCAGAACAAAGGGCGTGATCACCACATCATCAAGCTCGGCCGAAGTGATATTACTGTTATTCTTACCACCTGGTCCTTTCATGGTATAGAAGCAGTAATCATAGAGCATCGTTCCACCGCCATCAATCCTGAACGTACCGAGCGAATCTGAATGCGGTTGGTTTACTGGATTTCTTATTTAAAAAGTAATCACCAAAACAACAAAAGTCTGTAGGTAGAGGAGATTACATAAAGTAAGTTAGGCGAATCTGATCTTCACGGTAGTTCTCAGGTAGGTTTGATGTACCACACCTTTCTCATATTTCTAGCAGATCCATTCCTGGGCTCACCTCTTGAAGTCTCGAAAAATTTCTTATGACACTCATCACGTACTGGTTTAGCAACAGGCAACTAACAGGAAGTCCCTGTGCACTTAAGTCGATTACATGCCCATTGTTTAGTAATTTATCGACTTATTCATTTTTTATTATAAAACCAAAACACAATTCAAAAACATATAGGAATATGAAGCTATAATATACGTATGACAACACGAAACTGACTAAAGAAGGATAATACAAAATGATACGAAGAAACTTGAGAAACTCGGAAGGAAATGGAAGGAATCTTTCTTTCTCGAAAAATTTTTTAACTTATCGCTGATTGATCTAATCAATTCGTTTCGAAAAGTTGCTTAAGCGATGGATCAAAGAAGCAGGAGCGTAGCTGAATTATCACTGAAATTATGGGTGAAAGTTCATGCTGTAGGTCGAATAATGCTAGCTTATTCATAAAAAGTGACAAATTGGCTTGGGGTTCAAAACAAAAAAAAACCGTGTAAAGCAATGAAAAGTTTGATCCAAAACAGAATGGAGGAGGTGTGATGTTTCATAGATTAGTTCGACATGACTTACGTCCTCGCCCTATCCCCTTCTTGCCGCTCCCGTCATCCCTAAAAAACCCCAGCGCCCAATTTTTTAGACCTCCCTTTCTGCCATAACTAACCATAGACAATTTTAGTACCCATTGAGGGATACAACTGTCAAAAATCAGGTTCAAAAATAGTACAATGAAAATTTTCTTCAACAACACTCGAGCGTCCCCCCCCCCCCAAAACCTCACTTTTAACACTTTTATGTTGTTATTAATAGTCAAGCAAATACGTAAATAAATACCTAGAAGAGGAAAAAGTAGATGAGAAACGACAGTCAATGATTCACTCACTTGAAAACGATTTCATTTTCATCGTACTAGCAAATGTCTGAGTATTACCAACACCAGAAATTTTCGTTCCAAAACAGTACCCGTAGCATGAATTATACAATGCAATGTACCGACCTAGTTGTCCCTGAAAGTTATTGTTCTTTAGGAAATCAATTCATCAATCGATAATGGATCCATTTCTCATGTGGTTTTTGAACAAAATTCTTCAATTTCTCAAAATTTTATGACCATATGTTGTTTTTGCACGAGTAGAGAATCGAGTAAACAAAATTTCTCACTTGAACTGGTTTTGAAACAAGTGGAGTAATGCGACTGCTAGCCATCGTATAGTTATCGATCCGTGGAGCAAGCTGAAAGATTTTCTTGGTACGGTGAAAGTTACAAAAATTTTACTTTGAGAACAAGTTATAGTTTCAGAAAACTTCGCAAGTCGTACTCGTTGCCCAATAACGATGAGCTTTACTCTGAGGTCTTTACCCACTAAATTATGAAATTGGAAGGTGCCATAGAGAGTGCGTACAGGAGCAGGAGACGTATTGAAGTCGGTGTCTGGGAGACAACTTTTTTTGTTCTAGGAGACATTAGCAGTTAATCAGGCCGGTGTTTTCTCCTCGAACATAATATGACTCGAAAATCGGTTGAGTGTTGTTTGAACCTTGGACTACGTGATTGGCAGCAGCTCCTCTTTCCATTGCTTCAACTTGGCCCCTCTATCCAATTTTCAAAGGAAGTTCAGCGTACTACAGATCTTGTCGTACCACGATGATTCCACTGTTGTCTAGCAAAGACCGAGCTGAGTCGTCGGCAAAACAGTTCTGCACTGGACTTGAGCACACCATTATAGTGATGTAGTAGTGATCAGAAAGTCGTCGAATTTCTAACCAACGCATCGCTTTAGCCAAATCCTCAAAATCCGTGCCAAATGCCACAACTGAAAATGGAAAATTACGTGCAAATTTATTGTACCCTGACATAAGATTAAATTTTATTACTTGACGACTAGTTGTCATATGAGGTGAGCTTTATGTTTGAAAATAAATCTAGCTTGGTAATTGGGGAATGAAGGGATCGAGCTTAGTTTGGGCAGTACGTGTCCATGTTCTCCCGTAGACATTCTGGAGCATGCACATCCTAAGGAGTAGCCTGTTGGTACTAGTTTTGTTCAAACATGTACGAAAGAGTGCTCGATGTCAAAATGGAGAAATGCTGGCGTTAACTTTGTTTCAGAAAAATATGGAGGGTCATCTCGGGGAAGTTGTACCACCAAGTTCACTTTCTGTAGGGTTTTCAGTTTAGGTCCAGGGGGTTTGAATTGAATGAGATTGTTAACCAGTTGATTGCTATCAGTTTCAAATGCGATTTCAGTTTCTAGAATGAACTCAGTAAAAATCTTTTTCTTAGGGCATCAGTTGAGCCCTTTCGTGCTACGAAAGATGAGTAAATTCAGAATCAGAATGAAGGTTCAAAGGAGCCCTTTCCAAACTCACCTTTTGTTGACATCTCAATGGAACGAATCTTGGCTGACAAGTCTTTGAAATCGGCGTCAACCTTAGAAAAGAGTCATTACCAAGGTGTATGGATAAATAATCATGTTGTCAGTTGTTGAGTTAAGTTTTAATCAACGATGTGCTGCTTTACACTAGAGAGTCACCACCCAGGTTATACCCACTGATGTGTGCCACCTTCAGTTTTCTGGCTGCTGCCCGCGTATTTGGAAAAATCTGATAAGAACTCAACCTTTCTATGGTACTCACATAATTTCCGCTTAATATGCTATCCTCTCTACATATAAAGCGCTAACTTTGTGTGTCTGTCTGTATGCCCGTTCGTGTGTTCTCCCAAAAGTCACTTAGGCACGATTAAGGGGGTGAAGATCACAAGAGCGCGGTGAGAAAACAGTTATGAAATGGACAGTCAACCGATTCTCTTGAAATTGGTCAGTTGATTAATATCCAGTCTATTTATGACGTCATAGACTAAAAATTGCAACTCGCCCCAGGACAATCAAACCTCCAGGAACTAGAAAAGATCAGTATGGAAACAATTCCACGACCACCTATTAGTGTCACGAGATGAGTACCCACAAAGCAGCATCAAATCGTTTAAATTGGGGAATATCTCCTAATGGCAAACGGTTATGAAAAGGAAGTCAACCTATACCGTTCATATTGGTCCTCTAACATGTCGTAGGTAAGCGGTAGCCCGTAGTGGGCATAGCCCAATTGGTTCTTACAAAAATTTATCAATACAGCAGTGTTATTCACTTCTATAAGTTACTGTGGTGCGTGAAGTATAGAGTGAATATTGAGCTAGGGAGTAGGTAAGTCATTTTTTTAGTCTTTTTGACAAACTACATCTTTATGGAAGTGGTTCCCATTGTTATTAATAACGTTAATATTCAGATAATTTTTTAGGTTTTTTAAATGATCCCGTGTTTTTTAATGATAGCCCTATGAGCAAATACTGCGAGATAAACCAATAGGTACAATCCAACCCGAATGAGTTGTTCTCAAGCGCGAAAAGAAAGAAGTACTCAAATAAGGTTTGACCTGGATTTGTGTACTAATCAGCTGTGATCCAGTAAAATTCAGGTAATCATGGATGGCATTGGTGATTGTGTAGTGGTCACTACTCAACGGTGTTGGGCCAACGAGAGTCATCTGGAATAGGTCTCATCGAGATCACTTGACAATTTGTTGAAAACGTTCAAAAATTAAGAAATATTCGTTTTCCCACCTGCACTTCTCCAACTAATCGGGCGATTTCGATAAGTGCATGGGACAGACCAGCGGATGAAGCCGTAGCGACATTCACGGTGTTTGGAAAATACTGAAAATTCAGGGGTATCAAAACTTTCGGATCAATTCTAATTCTAGAAGCACCCTTTGCACTTTGATTACGTTTGCCAGAGAACTGAATTTTTGAAATTTTTGTTTTATTTTTGTTTCCTGGCCTCTCCAACATCGTGGGTGGGTTTGGAGCTTGAGACTCGCTCTATTCATTGGCTGCGCTGTTTGGCAACGCTCCAATGAGTGGCGCACCAAGGTCCATCAAAAAAGTTCTGTACTCACCCACTGCTTTTGAGAGGAAACCGCTCGAAGCAAATTTGTAAAAAAAATTGAACAACTTGGAAAGTTCCTAGAACTATTCGAAAGTTAAAGGCCATCGTACCGTTGGGTTCATGGCAAATGGTGTGCTCATAGTTCGTGCGAACACTGGTCTTTTCCAAAAGTATCCCAATCGGCCTATTTGCTCCTGTTCGTCGCTGCATGGAGGCGCAATGTAGCCGTCGACCTGGAATGGATGATTCTTTAAAATGTTTTCCATTTTGAGAAATATCTTTTCGATAGCTCTCTGTTCCAAAAGTTTCTACAGGGAAACCACTTCTTTTGTTTCTGTGCTTTCCTTTCAGGGCGAGAGCAGACTGTTAAGTTAGACCATATGGTGCTGTATACAACTGGCAATGGTCCCATTGACCAGTTACGGTTACCGCTACTAAAGTGAAGGGGAGAATGCCTTCTTTTTGAAGTACAACTGTGTCTGGAATCAGTTCTTCTGGGCCAAAGTTCAGTTTGATTATTCACATCCATTTAAATCAACTGTTCGACGGGTGGTAGGATTATGTAGGCATCTTAGGAACAAATTCAACCTAGTACCAGCCTCGGAAAGCCTTTATATGAAAACGTACCATCCTTTCACAAAGGATAGCTGGAGGAATTGAATTTCCTCACAGTTGTGCGAAAGGAGAGTACAAGCTCAAACGAGGGAACTTGAAATATTGTGCCATTTGGAACTACTCTTATGGCTTCCTCAAGTCCAAGATCTATCGCTTCCGAACCTTTATATAAGAATAAATGAAAAAGTTGCTGTGCATAGAAACTCGCATTTTCTTGGAAGAATAGTTCAGCGGCCATTGAAGTACCCCTTGCCGGTCGATTAGATTCGCAACCTTTCCGTGATACAATCCTGTAATTGTCCAGTAGTAAGCAAAGGTAAAAAGCAGTCGAAAAAAATAAAAAAGGATTTTTTTGAAAAAATGTAAGTAATGGCTAGAAGTAACAAATATAAAATTGAATTTTGGAGGTTCTGCTGTGCTAGTTAGTCCAGTCTCCCCCCCCCCCCCCCCCCCCCCCTCCTCCCTCCCTTCAAATGAACTTTGTGAAACATAGAGTGGCTTTTCAGATTTCCAATAACTTACTCAATGGGATCCGATACGCAGGCTGCGTTCTGTTTCGCTTCGTTCAAGGCAGCTTCACAGAGTGGTTGAAGATCGCCGACTTCGTCGATGAGCCCCAATTTAAGTGAAATCGTCAGTGATGTCAACAGTAATTGTGAAGTAGTAATATACAGTAGCATCGCTCTCAGGATTCAGAGCTCATGATTAATAGATGGAATCAGTGGAATTGTTGAGCTTCGTATGGGAAGTACCGTGGGAGGAAATTGTGAAGAAAGTAAGAGATGCAAAGCGTAAAGCCGTTAAGCCGGTTAAGTTTCCGCCTGTCTAAGTGAAAGGAATCGATTGCCGTGGAGGAGGAGACAAATGATATCTGTTAACAGGTAATGAGCGAGTAGGCTGCCATTAGTGAGGCATTCATTCAACGGCGCATCTCCTCACTCTCTCCATCCCTAGCTGCTCAGCCTATTGTTGCTGGCATTTTCCACGTGGCTCACACAAAACGACGCTTACTTAAGAGTAGCTCACTGGTAATCCCTCCCATAGAATCCTCATTATGGTAGAGCACTTAGCAAAGGGACCTGGGAATATAGTTGGACCACTATACGATACTCATTCGAGTTCCATCTGAATTTCAGTATTTGAGAAGGAGTACCTGATGCAGTACTTCTACACCTGGGAAAGTACATGGCGATACTCCAGAGATTCGTTGAAGAGTCAGATTTGATTCGAAAAATATTGCTCTTAAGTGACAGTGTTCGAGGGAGTTCTTCAGAGACAGAGATGAAGAGTAAGTAATCCATTACTGAAAAGTATGATTGGCAAATTCTACTACTTGGAAACACACTTGATAGGCGGTCTCTTCGGGTTGGTACGAAATTCACTTCGTCTGCTCATATTATTTTATGTTATTTCATGAAGCAAATCCCACATGGATGTTATCGTAATCCAGCAGGATATTCGAAGTTTTTCCCCCTTTTTCATGATTACTAGTAATCTCCTATAGCTAATAGCATACAGTAGATGTACCTCCCTACAATAGGTTGAAGTCTTCTTGGAAATTCTGACTTCTTCGGATTCGCCCTTTCGATTCAATCGACGCTGATGTCTCGAGACTACGAGCTAGTCTTAATTTCAGTCAGTCAAATCTTCTACCCATTTTTGTACTACATCCGCAATTTAGTGTACCTATAAACTAAATGGTAACCACAACATAACTTGTAAATTTGTTTTTGATTTCTTGTCACAACAGACCCGAGAATGTTGCGTAGTTTGAAAGGGATTGGCCAGAATTTTCATCCTGAGACATCTGGTCGATTCTAGCTTAATGATTTCTGGAAAATTGTGGCTCTTAAGCCCGGGTTTCAATTTTTTCAATAATCGTTTTTGCATTTAATTCAATTTCAATTGAACTAATCCTACTTCCTGGCAAGAAGGAATTGTATCAGAAGATCTGCTTTGATTCCTTGTTGGGGCAAATCGATAGCAAATCAATCCAGATCAATAGCCTAATTGAGAACAAGACTGTTACTCATGAACTGAAATTGAGGGCATTGGCCGTTCCAAGTATGAAAGGTCGCTGTCGTGTCCTCGTAGTCTCCCCTGTAATTTCAATTTCCGGTCGGGAAGAGCATTCAGGTACAGGAAAGAGGGGTGCAGTCTTTTTTAGCGGCTCATTATGGTCAGTGCTTTCGTTTCTCCGTGACAGATCGTTGATCAAAACAATCGAACGCGAAAGTCGAAATCGCGTCAGATCGGTTTCGTGCTGTCCCCTGGCAAGTGCCCCTTCGTATCATGTATTCTTTTGTGAAAATTGCCACATTTTCTCTATAATTTAGTATAGCAGGAATATTTTGTCTCATAATAGGTCCCATATTCTCTGGAATTCATCTAATGGCAGTCGATCCTACAAGTAGCGGGGAAGTAACGTTCTCTTGCGGCAATACTATTGCTGGACTGGTCGGTGGGTTATGGACCAGAACTTCTCCCCAGTACCATTATCATATTTACTTTATCAGTGTCTGATTATTGATTTGTAACAAGCACGTTTCAGATAGTAAGATCACGGATCCCAGTAGATTGTCAAGTTTCCAAGATCCTTAGTGAGCCTATGCCAATTCATAATCGTTTTACGGCTTACATAGAAAATCAGTTTTACAGACTGACTACTTCTTTCAGGTATTACTACCAGTTGTACACGATAATGCTTCTAAACACTTCCATGAGATCATACCGAGAAGATGTGGCTGATCCGATTCAAAGCCTAGATGAATTCGAGTTCATGGAAGACGGTTGAAATCCGAAAAGCCGAGAAAGGTATTCGGATTTGAAACTTTTAACACTTTTGTTCGTAAGCTTAAAAAGGGTGTTTTCAACTGAAATTTCTGATCTCGACTTCTCTGACATCTCTGTAATGCATCTGACTTTCATACCATTAACATCTCTGCCTCAAAGTTCCCTAACCCTAGTTATGGTCTGTACGGTAACCTTTTCGTATCGGAAGCTTCAGTGGTAGTAATCAATTTCGAAAAAAGCTCCAAGTCGGCTGACCAAATTATTCGGCTGATTATATGATATGATATGATGAAAAGAGTTAGCGGTTGTCGGATGCAACCAGTTCAGTTAGGTCAGTTGGTGAGCATGTACTGGTTGGCCCACTAGTAGGTTTGGTTGGCGCTCACGTCGTCACTCGACGGTGCTGACCAGCGGTCGCTGATCTCCGTCGTCGTCGGCCCTCCAACCGGCCGTTGGCGTCGCGCACGAGTTTCTTACTCGGAATGTCGTGTTCCGCATTTCTGTTGCTGCTATCAGCCACAGCTCATCTAACAACCTTTGTGGGTGGTCTTTATTCTCGGCACACTAAGCGATGACGATCGCTATCGTGGAGCGCCGACGGTCTGGGAGAAGTGAAAGCAGCAGCCCTTGCACCTCAGAGTCAGGATATGGAATTCGAACGATGGTCATCATCTTGGCTAATTCATGGCCATTCACTGAAACTGACAAAGCTTAAACAAAGCATCAAGTCCTAAACAAAGCGATTTTAGCCACACTAGCTACAAATCTCATGCCCAGTTTTTTTTNTTTTTTTTCTTGAGAAAATGCTGACTGAATGGTTTCACCACCGAAACAATTAATATTAAATACTTGAAAATCGCTGGCCAGTAGGTTAGTATATAAGGGGAATGATGTGCCCTTTTCTCGACCTGACGTTCTTCCCGGATGAAAAAACTGACCCCATTGTTGAGCCGAATTTAAGGTAATGAAGGCCACCGTTCCACTTCGGTAGGATTACCCTTTCCCGCAATTACCTCAAAACTGTCAAGAATAATTTTTCTGATGTTCCTTTTCCAATCCATTGGGAGAACAAATTATTCCAATTAACAATCACTACAGTGGAGAATTACATCTTTTCGCATTCGCCCTGCGCTTCCCAGGAGTATACGGAGAGCCAATGATGCTTTATTATCCAGTTCCTAGGAAGGGAAAACAGAGGTGACGGATGGGAGCTACACTTAGCAGAGAAAATTCAGGGCTTGTTTTTGATCAGTTGCAGTGCCAATCAAATCCAATAATACGAAATGCGCATTGCGGACAAATGGTCTGGAGAACTATTCTCGCACCACTCATTCTATGAAATTGCTTTTTTTTGTGAAGAGCAGGGAGAGCAACAGCGCCTGTCTTCCAGTTGCCGGTCTGCTTGAACTGGGCAGGTCTTTCAGTCCGGGACTGATTGTTGCTAACCCGTTCCAGACGCATGATCATAGAAAAAAGCTGATTACTGCCTAGATTCAGTATGTTAGTATGCTCGAAAACAGCAGGGTTGAATAAGAAGCTATGGATCAATCCCATCTAGAGCAAGACAGGTTTTTTGTACCCGTCTATGGTTCTAACTGAATTTCGATCAGTGTTGGGCTTTTCCTGCTAGGATTTTCGTGGAACGGATGATACCCATGTCCATCTTTTCAAATTTCCCTAACAAATGTTCTTCAACTTACTTACTCTCAAGGGACCAAGATGTGTTCGGCAGGATGCGATATCGAACGCTCCGCTCACGGTAATGGCGACAGTTGTTACTGCACCCCATCATCTTTATTTTGACCATAAGAAATGGCTGACTATTAATTCCCTACGTTGTTATTGCGGTATGTTTTTCTTACATAATAAGTGAGTTTTAACGAACGTGCACCGTGAAATATGGGTGTAAGGGCCAAATGCCATTCTACGGTAGCCTAACCGTCCTGCTCATCACTCGTATTGTTACTTCAAACCATCATACTCTGCAAATTGAACCGAAAGCCAATGATGCAGGTTAGTTTTGAGCGGAAAAGGGCCGAAATACTACATTATTTGAAGCTTCTGTTGCCGTACCCATTGTCATGCGGTCATTTCAAAAAGAGCGGGCTTTGCGTTGATCCCCTTTTCGACATCGTTCTCGCACGATTCGCTATTGTGCCAGAGGTCTGTTGCCTGATGTGATGCGAAACTGCGATCTTGGGATTGACGTTGAAATTAAGAGAACGAGTTATAGAAATCCAGTTCAAGCTTTGTTAGTAATCGTGTTGATTCAGCAGTTTGGCATTCCAATTCAATAAGCACGTCTCTTTCATGATCAGCTTTACCCAGGAATCCTCATTCATGAAGGAGGGGATGGTTGTTCATGAAGGGTGTGAATGTGCGCGATACCGTAATCGAATGGGCGAAGGGTGATAATTTTGGTGTGAGGGCGTGTTCCTGTTGGTTTGAGACCAGTGTATATGGGTTCCAAAGTTCAACTTCAAATTCCACTGATCATTTTAGAAAAGTGAGGAGCAGAGGAAGACGATAGACAAGCACAGACTCAAGTAGATCCCGCCCACAACTGGGCGTTCTGGCCTCCTGCGTTATCGGTGGCGCATCGCATTCGCACATGTTCGATCCTCGTCCGTGGCTGCTTTCCTGCCTATACACCGCTGCGCTCTTTTTCTCCGTACCTCTATCGTTGGCTGTCTGGTACATCAGAAGAGAATTCATTCAGGAGACGACAGTTGCCGGCGACGATCAGGTAGCACCGCATCATTGCCCCCTTCCCCACTTTCCTGCCCAGAGCACCTCATGCCACATTGCCCGCTTTCCCTGCAACCTTTTGACAAGCTTCGCCGCTAATGCTTTTTCCCCTTCACCTTCCTGCCCATCATGAGCTCTTTCACTTTTCTTTTGTTTTAGCTCGGTGGCCTGTCCGCTAGTTTCAAGAACACCGCACGTCTCGATTCAGCTGTCGCCAAACGCGACTTTGAAATCCGCGTTGATCACTAAGGTTAGCCATACTGGTTATATGTGTTCATATTACATTACAAATGGTGTTTCGTGTTTTGATGCCGCCGTGACTGTCCTCATCCCTTTTGTTTTGTTATTCTGACGCTTCTACTCATTCCTCTCCAATCTCACTCCGCGCACCCTTTGAACATTTTCCTCGTTCATTGCTCACTTTCAGCCAATCCTCTTGCTTACACCAATCGGTCACTTTTTCCTGACAGTTCCTTTACGATCCAATGTCCACAATCGCATGATTTATATCTATTCTCATTCTCGATGAGACGCTACAGTGAATTGAAGTCTGCGTTGTATTCGCTATTTAGTGGCTTGCATGTGTGTCTCTTTCACCGGAGCAGATCGTTAGATTACCGTAATTGAATCGTTTAATGATTTACTTTCGTGTAGGTGTGGCAGTAACCATCTGATCATGCTCTTGTTCCTTTTCGTTTTACATGTAACTCTACACGAGGTTCCATGCGTGGACGTAAGTGACCCCTCCAGAAAGTACGGCGCCCCCGCCATCGCTCCGACTTGACGTCTTCATGTTTCTCGAAGCGATCACGTGGTCAGGCTCCTCTGACTGTCCTCGTTTTCGTGATGATCCTGTTCTGGAAACTCATATCCGGCAGCAGTTGTACGAGCCTGTTGTGCACTATCTCCTCGGGAATCTACGAGACCGTTGAGCGCACCGGAACGTATCGGCATCTCAACCAATTATGACATACTTTCTCTTCTGTGCTTCCGCGTTCGTTACCGCCACCACAGACTGACCTTTGCACCATTTTTGGGATTATCTGAATATGCGCTTTTATTCGAACAAATCACCCCACCACTAACTGATTTGCTCATATGCTCTTAATTCTCCGCTTCATCTTAATCGCCGTTCAGCAGCTTCTGACAGTCCATCTGCATTGTACGAGCTGATGACTGCATCCAGTTCCCTGTGAATTCCTGAACTGCTCGACATTCTTCCGTAATGCTTGCTGTTAACTCTTCAACTACCACTTCAACCGTCTCGCCCAAAATCCCTGAAATCCTTGCAAGCGATACAGTTCGCAACTCGGTGGTTCTTCTTCAAAGAATGCACCTTTTCCTCTAACTTCTTCCTGGTTCGATTCAACGTCGCGATAAACGCGTCTGAACAAAAGACGACGCTGTGGCGACCAGATTTCTTCGAGTATCACACGCTCAAATCTACCTATGTTCCAAATTGTTCGCGCTACGTATCGCTAGGATGATTACGATCTGCACTCCAGTCGCGCTTTCTCGGGCGGACTTAGTCGCCGGCCTCAATCAGGTCATCCAGACTTCCATCCGTCCAGCTTGCTTCATGCCACAGTGACCTGTAACAGCTTTTATCACGAACGATTGCTAGATGACCCATAGGAAAGTGAAAATGAAGTGGAAATAATGAAGAAATAAGAAGAATGTCGCAAATTTTTCGCATAACGGTGAAAACCAGCAGAAATCTGATTGAGGCAGTAACAATACGTACTTCAGATGCACGTGGTAATTATCCATCCAGAACAGTGGAATGGCGGTTCAGATCGGTGTACGGTAGCACTTATAAGACATTTTGTTTCAAAAGGGTGCAAGGTAAATTGCCATTGAATGACCTACTTTCAAGAAAAAAAACGATGTTTCAACAAAGCTATTTCAGGTAACTTGGCTTACTACAATGATTGACGAGTACTGGAAGGATCACAAATTCGACGGCGTCGGTAAGAACAAGATATTTTCGATTCTGAAAACCAATAGTTTATGCTTCAAGTTAAACCTGTCCTACTACTTGAATCTATAAAAAACATAATTATCATCGCCAGAAGTTCACATTTCCCACCACTATAACGAGATTTTTTTATTTACTTTTTTACTTAGAGCGCTTCTTGTTTTTATTTTCATGGTCTAGAATTTTTCTTGTAATGTTGCTATAATTTTGTTATTATTGACCTGCCACTGCATAGACAACAGTAAATAGAAGAAAAATAACCATTAAATCTACAAATTGATAGGTGTTGGCTATTTTAATGGGTTTTGCGATTTTTTTTGTTATATCTATAGTTGTGATTCGTGTTTGAACAAGTCGGATCATTTTTTTCCTCTCACGTTTACTTTGATTTTAATCTTGTTGAGTTTGTTAGGTAAATTTGAGAATCCGCAATTCGACAGTCGCTAACTTCAACGACTGACTACTGGATTTTGTTCAGATATTCACGAAGTTGGGCTGAAACTTCATCCAGGCGATTGGTGGAGTCAGAACGTGGCCCTCGGCTGGTATCTCGTCTTCAACAATATCAAACCCGATTTGGTGGTCATCGACCATTCGGCAAGGTTCGGCGTCCTTTCTGAAGACCTCTGGAAGCTTCCTGTATTGGAGTAATCGCGTGGTTCACTTACTGGTTACAACATTTCAGTTGTGTTCCTCTCATCAAATGGCGTTACCCTAGTTGTAAAGTGTTGTTCTACTGTCATTTTCCACAACAACTCGTCACACCGTCAAGATTCTTTTTGTATAGGTGAGTCTAGAGTTAATCCCGATGCCATAGTTTGGCTTCCACGAATGTTCCGGTTTCAGATGGTACTCGAGTTTAATTGGCGTCATCGAAGAGCATCTCTTCCAACATACCGACGTCATTATGGTCAACAGTCATTTTACAGGTGGATGAGTGGCTTTTATTGGAGATCAGCACTTAACTTACTCCACTAATCTGGTGTGTGTGAAGATTTTCTCCGTTTCAGCCTCACAGTTCAGTCGCGTAATGCCCCGCATTGAAAAAAGTAAAATCCGTGTCGTCTACCCGCCATGTGACGTTGACTCGATTGTTATATCGGTAATACACATCTTCATAATGATTTATTAATATTGTGATTACTGTATTGTAACATCCCCATGCTGTCATCTACACAGGCCGAAAAACCGATGAGTCGTCGAGATCGACCACAAAACGATGTGTACGTGTTCATGTCAATGAACAGATTTTGGCCTGAAAAACGTCTTGACATCATTATCGAGGCAGCCTGTAAGTTCGTCCAGCCTCAACCGATCCTCTCCCCTAAACAATACTTTTTATTTTCAGCATTACTAAAAAAACGCGGGTACAAGTTTTTGGTGCAATTGGCCGGCTCTGTGATGCCGCATATACCAGAAAGTCGAATATATTACGAATTACTTCAGAAAATGACAAGGGCAAGTGATCATCAGTGTAGTATCGTCCTGAATTACCAGAGTGTATGACTGAAAAAAAATGTTGTTTAAGGATCTCGACGTCGAAGATGTCGTCGAATTCATTCCCTCACCGTCCGAATGTCAAAAATTCGAATTGTACAGGAAATGCGATTCGGCCCTCTATACACCACCAAACGAGCATTTCGGCATTGTACCAATCGAGGTCTGTGGTGTAGCTGCTGCTCGAAAACATCTCCAGTTGAAGTTCGGACAGTTTTTCAGGCATTGGACCAACGTCGGCCTGTGATCGTGTGCGACAGTGGTGGTCCGGCCGAAACCGTCATAGAAGACGTCACAGGCAGCAAGGTAGGACCACCATTGGTTTGGTCAGCTAGAGGATGTGGATTTAGTGTATCGTGTCGATCTTTTCAGATAATGAAACCGACGGGGGAACTGCTTGCCGAAGCGATGGTGCACCACATCAAGAAACAAGACTGGCCAGCCCTCGACTGCGACGAAACTTACGAGAAACAAGTAAAATTAACAGTAACGAAGCAATATAATGAGAAAAACCCTCAGTATGTGCCCTGGTTGTGATCTTCCTCGACAGCATGGTCATTGGCGTAGAGGGCGATTTCGAGAAAGGGTCAGATTGTGTTGGAGAATGTCTTGGTGACGTCATCACAAAAAGTTGGCAGCACAATTCATTGAATTCAATGGAAACAGTTATTATGGCCAGAAACCCCACTTATTGCTAGCTCAGTCAATCGGGTCCCCGGTGCATCCTATAACAATAGGGTGTTCGCATAGGTAATCCTTTTAACAGTAGCAAAATAGTGGCTGTTGCTGATCGTTGCATTTGAATGTGCAAATTTTTCATGGTCAAGTATTGTAGTGCCCCCAAAGCGACCGGTATGTTGTGCCTAACAGGGATGGACCCTAATTTTTCCAGTACCCTAATAGACCGTGTGAGGATGGCTTCACCTGATAGGCATGGATCGTAATCCTTGTGATTGATCAGAAATGGATAATACTGCAGTATAATTTCAGCGTATACGGTTCGATCGCGATTTTTCGTTGAGAGGCTTCTGTGCGCACATCGACGAAGCCGTTTCGCAGCTGTTTCCCGATCTGGCCACGATATTATCGCGAAGTCGTCGTGCACTTGCCTAGCCGAACGACTTCATCTCGTCCAAGGCGATTTCAGCCCAAAGGCGTACAATACCGAATTGGTCTCACCCCATCTTGTTGTGGGGTCAGGGCTGTGGTTGTCGCCATCATTTTGTACTGTATGCATATTACGAGAGTAAGTAATAGTAGTAGTTTAAGCACCTCAATTCTTTGGAGGGCGACATCACTCGCTGACTCCGTGACAATGGTTGTTACATAAGTCAACCACCATGAACTCATGACAGACATGACTTTTGTGAGGACCTTCTAATGCGGGTGAGACTGATACGGAACGCAATCTAGCCCCGTTTCACTTGTGAAACGGCATTTTTACAAATATCTACTTTCAAGTTTAACGTGTTCCTTTGTTGCACCTAAATCATATGTACTATTTTTGCTAATTTTGTATGGTAGTGTATTTGATGATTTCTATTTCAGTTTTCTGCAGAATTCCGGCGATTTAATTTTCAAAAAATCTAGTGCTTGTCTTTCAGCTTTTCGTGCTCCCTTTTGCTCCTTCTTTCACTCTGTATGTTTTGCTTTCTGTCGCATCTTCTTGTGCGGTCTAGATGATGCTCTACATAGAATGATTAGAGTTATCGCAGTGTCATATGAAGTTTTGGTAGTACTGTTTACTTGTTTATTCGTTTGGTAAGAAAACCATGTTTGTATTTTTTCTACGCCGATTTTTGCCACCGATAAAACTACAATTTATTGTACATATTAACCGAACGAGACAAATGGGACAGATCGAACGCCAAGTGATAGGATCACTAGCATAGTTATCGCAAAAGCTACAGATCATTGAGGGATACTGATCAGGTCGGTTGGTGCCGGATTCACTCCTCAACGTCTTGGTCGCGATCATCAAACTCTCCCTCATCGTCTGCTGTAGCCTCCTACAATACCATGGGATCGCAAGGTTCACCTAGGCCACCCAGGTAGAATTATTTACCTGATATTGTTGATACTCGGACACCAGATCGTTCATGTTCGATTCAGCTTCAGTGAATTCCATTTCATCCATACCCTCACCGGTATACCAGTGAAGGAACGCCTTACGACGGAACATCGCTAAAAGTTTTCAGTGAAATCTTCAGTCTAGAGGTCAGCAAAACGTTACAAACCCGTGAATTGTTCGGATATTCTCTTGAACAGCTCCTGGATGGCAGTCGAGTTGCCGACGAATGTAGCGGCCATCTGAAAAGAATCATTTCAGCAACGCTATCTGGGCAATATCAGAGGACCACGTTGGAGCCAAGTCTGATTCAGTGAACTTAAGCAACAGGCAAAGCTGCGCATCGAATTTTGAGGGAATTCCTTCCTTTTCCGACTTGCTGAGACATTCCAGATTCTTTTAGGGATTACGCCAACCGTCACTGAGCTAGAAACTAACCTTCACTCCTCGTGGTGGAATATCGCATACGGCTGTTTTGACGTTATTCGGTATCCATTCAACAAAATAGGACGAATTCTTATTCTGGACGTTCAGCATCTGCTCGTCAACTTCCTCAAACAGAACGATTACCAATTTTGAACAGAGAAATTTTTCAAATTTAGATATTGGCCCAGTCTTGTTAGATTGATGAAGGACAAAATTTCCTACTTTTACAGGTCCTTATTAGTGTGATACCGATAAGGGATCTGTTTTTGATCTGTTGAGGGGCTTATTTTTTGTTTATTATTTATTGTTTACATGTAATATCTCAACCTAAACTTGAGTTGATTCGAGTTGGCAACCAACCTTCATGCTCATCCGCCCTCTGAACATCGCCGCCACCGTAAGGTATCGTCCATGCCGTGGATCACAAGCGGCCATCATATTTTTTGCGTCAAACATCTGTTGGGTTAGCTCAGGTACGGTAAGGGACCTCAAACAGTAGACTTCAATAGAAGCGAACTTCGGCTGCACTCCTTAATCTTTGGAACGTCGACAGTCTTCAATGGTTTTGATGACAATGAAATAAAAATTTGATAGAATTTTTTGTTAGAAAAATTCCAGTCCCTATTGACACCTTAGTCATTCCTCACTTGACAGAGTAATAGCTATTTTGACAGATCGGCGTTGGCATTATTGAATAGATGAATAGACGTATTTGAAGAAAGGGAGTTCCCTCTAAATACTCCTCGAAGTCTAAACAGGAACTACTTACCGATACTGCTGGGAACCTCGTGAAGTGAGAGGAGCAAAGCCAGGCATGAAAAAGTGTAGACGAGGAAACGGAACCATATTCACTGCCAATTTACGTAGATCAGCATTTAACTGAAAAAACACATTACTCGAACTCTTTGTTATGAATTCTTTTCGGAGCTACAGTCGTGCCGAGGTTTATGGAACCCCGCATGTGAAGTGTTTTGAGGTCATTTGGAACATGTTGGACAGGCTTCACCAGAATCCACCTGTATCAGCACACATGAAAAGAATGGAAGAGAAGGGGTCAGATAGGATTGTGGTTGCAAGTGTTGTCAAGGTTAGACACAGTAAGCTGGAATAGGTTAACCCCTTTAGCATTTGAGGGTTCAGTTTGATCACACATAACTAGTTTACAGATTTAGTTTGCCGTACTGGTTAGCTAATAAGTCAACGTAGTACTTCTACATGTGTGTGGACTCCATCCCTGGTGGTCATTTCATTTTGACCTATTGATGTCCCGCAGCCCGCTCTCGCCGCTTCAGGGTGCCAGTGTCGGGAGTACTAGCTGCTGAGCTCTTTGATTCAATCGTGAACTTCTTTTTCTTGTAAGCGTTAAAGCCTTTAATGGTGATCTTTTCGCATATTTGCATTTATTGGTATATTTGGAAGGTGAAAATGTAGTTGGGGGGTGCCAGCGCGCTTTTGTGCTCTGCGTCTCGTCAGTTCTTACACTATCTAACATCTCACCCGTCCCGGGGCTCTTCCCCTTTTAAAAATTAAGGAAGGAGCTCCGGGGTGGGTGAACCAATTGGATGTTCAATTCTTACCCCATCCCAGCTTTTTGCACGCGATAATCATCTCTCACCCCGGAGCTTCTCCCCTAACTTTTAGAAGGGGAGGAATCCAACTCTACGATCTCTCTGCACTCTGCCGCCGGTGTCAGAGACGCAGAGCACGAAAGCGCGCTGGCACCCCCCAACTACATTTTCACCTATTTGGAATTATATAATGTGAAATTACATTTTTCAGAGACAATTTGAATTTTGGAATCAAGGTATCTCGAATGTACATAGTTCGTCTTTATGAAAACAAGGAGGAAACCTGTATTTCAAGCAGTGAGGTGAGGCCAATCGCTACTTCTTTACAATTGAAAAAGGGAATGATTAAGTTTATGATTTCTTCGTGGTAACAATAACAGTTGTCGTCATGTAGTCAACCAGTAACGGCGATTATTTTGTAACTGGTTTCAAAGGAATTCAACGAAGGTGTATGATGCGCCATTGGAATGAGCTGGGCCAAAAACCAAGCCACTACATCGCCTTCTTGTCCTCACCCTCTCATGTATTCAACTTTATGTATTTCTGTTAAACATGTAGGTATAGCCTGGTTGATTTCTTAGAGCATCCGTCGAATGGCCTCTGATTGGGCATCGTTGATACCCAATCAGGGAAGACCTTTGCACGCACACTGCTCCCAATCAAATTTAAATTATAATACCTGTCCAGGGAATCGTAAGCACGTCGTCACTCCGCTCATAGTCATAGACACTAAATGATTGAGATCTCCATAAGTTGGTGTCGTTAGTTTCAGTGTCCGGAAGCAGATATCATAGAGAGCCTATAAAGATGAAATATTTATGACAAGAACGAAAATAGGCACCTCACTACGAGCCATATATCAGCCTACTTGAATAGACTAGGCTATCTGGCAGGTGTACTTATATCCTTACTTACCTCATTGTCGATACAGAAAGTCTCGTCGGTATTTTCGACCAGTTGATGGACAGATAAGGTTGCGTTGTAGGGTTCAACTACCTGAATGATTGCTATATGTAAGTCTCTAGCCCCCATTAACAAAACAGTTTCACTGAACACCGTTAAATCGATCAATCAATCAACAGTTAATAATTATCGATTGAGTATTACCAGTAATCATAAGTTCCTTACCGTATCAGACACTTTCGGGCTGGGTACGACTGAAAACGTGTTCATGATCCGATCTGGGTACTCTTCGCGAATTTTTGATATCAACAGTGTACCCATACCTGAGCCAGTGCCACCGCCAAGCGAATGTGTCATTTGAAAGCCCTGAAGAGAATCCTTCGAGTAAGATTAGTGGGTAGCCCTGAACGACGGGGCTGTTCTGCCCAACTTTTCTGGTGGTGTAAAGATTTCGAATGGACGTCACCTGAAGGCAATCACAGCTTTCAGCTTCTTTTCGAACGACGTCTAGGACGTTATCGACCAGCTCAGCGCCTTCAGTATAATGGCCTTTGGCCCAGTTGTTTCCAGCTCCCGATTGGCCTGTAAAATAGTGAAAGATCCTTTGAAGTAATTCTATAAAGTTATTTCCCTTGACTGTTTCAGCCTGAGAGCCTGATGGCTATTCGCTGAGACGGGAATCAAGGGCTCTTTGAAATCTGTGAAGTTGTAGATGTAATCGGGATTTTAATCTGAATCTCAGATTATACGGTGTTGTGTCTCGTGCTACTTGCTCGCTGTTTACTATTTTACCAAGATAGCCTCGGTACAGTAGGCATTACATTTATTGGAACCGTTCCAAGGAAATTAGTTTTATGGAAACTATCATTATGTAAAAAGGTATTTTGGGCCTGAGAAATATCCCGGAAGTTCCATACTAGAAACATCCGGAGTTATTTCCAAGTAGCTAGATGTAATAGCCCGAGTAGATTCGGCATTGGGAACAACTCCCCTAGCTTAATTTCCTCTCAAATATTTGGGACTGAACCCAGTTTTTAGTTTAAGATATCCAATTATAGCCCCAAGTAACCGTTGCGGTCCAAATTTGGCAAAGCAATTACCTAGGCCCGGTGAACTCACCAAAAACAAAGTTATCCGGACGGAATAATTGACCAAAAGGTCCAGCACGAACAGAGTCCATCGTGCCAGGCTCGAGATCAACGAGACACGCTCGAGGTACATACTTGCCTCCTATAACAGGTATGAAAATAATAACAATTTAGTCCACAATCAAGTACAGGATCTTGCCAAGACTAAGAGGGGGGGGGGGCCAAGACTCCCGACTAAAACTACTCACCACTTGCTTCATTGTAGTAAACATTAATTCTCTCCAGTTGAAGATCAGAATCACCATTATAGATGCCGGTCGGCTCAATTCCATGCTCGTCCGAAATTACTTCCCAGAACTGAAACAGGGATTTTTTGAAAGTAGTTCTTGAAACAGCCTCATGGAAATCACCTTGGCTCCGATCTGATTACCGCATTGACCTGCTTGAATGTGAACAATTTCACGCATCTTCTCTAGTAAAATACGAGCTGATACGGACAATTGATAATAAGGTAGTTTGCTACAAAACTATACAAAAAGCGTTGAATTGGACGAATAAATAATAAACGTTTAACGAATAAATACTTATTATGAGTAAATCAATGCTATACGGCACGCCAGTAACGTCATGGCAACGGAACACGCAATTCAAGATCAGGGATCAGTCGGGGAACATATGAAGCAGCTGTGGGCAGCTTTTCACTGACAGGTTCTTTTAACTACGTTTGACGATTTGTGAGTAGTAAATGCAGTAAACAACACAACTATGCCGTTTGAATGGATCTATCTATTTATGAAAATCGAAATAATTCAAAAATTGGAGTCCGGTCGTTTTCTGCCTCTCAAATAATTTCGAATAATTTCTGAGAGGATAAGGATAATGGCAGTAAAAGGGCACGTGAAATCGTGAGATCGTAGTGCACGTGCGATCGATCGATCTCTGTTGATTTATACTCTTCCGAAAGCGCCGTGAGTGCGCGCGAGATCCGTCCTTTTGTGTTGTGCTGATTTGACTTTGTATCGGAGGCTCCCAAGAGAGTCTAAGCCTTGAAGCAATTTCTATTGCTTTCAACTCAATTGGAAGGAAATGCCTTTATGAATAAGATTCGAGTAAAAAGTTACTAAAAAAGGGATTTTTGTAGGAACCTGGGCAATATCGGAAAGCAAATACACGTCAAAATGTACGTCATGGAGACATTCAGATGTCGTGGTGATAAGCAATAATTCAACTTGATTAATCACCACGCTTTGTTCTTTGAGCTGGAGCATAGCACTGGAAATTTCCGGAAAGGAATATGAGATATTCGTAGAGCACTTTTATGGGCGATGCTCGTGGGTTAGTTCGTCTTAGGGCGATATCTGGTCCCCAGTCTGTCTCGGGAAACCATAGAGCCTCATGGTTGTGGATCGAATTCCTTTATTGGAATTCAAGTGCTTTGAACTGAATGCAATTTCAATTACTGCTAGCAGATGTCAAAAGTAAAGTAGTAATTTCTAAAGCCTTACTACAGTGGCATAGCGGTACAGAGGCACGATTGATCTCTGACCACAACTGCCCCATAAAGTTCAGTATCGTGGCCTGAATACAAACCCTAGTGGTCGAAAGCATTCATTTTAGAGGAAAACTCAGAGAAGCTGAACTGACTAGGCTATATTCTGTGACGCGGCGTTTGATTTTCTGTGGTGAATGAAAAAGAAAGAATTAAGGCATTTGATCTCGTATGAAAGTTTGTGAAAAAAGATAAGGCGAGGTAAAAAGTGCGAATTGAATGTGACTGGAAGAGATGAAGAGATTCGCTAAGAGAGCGGATGAGAGCAAGCAGAGGAATGTTCTAGAAATGACCATGAATATGGTCCAAAGCAAGGAAAAAGCTGCATTCGGAATGGTGGCAGCTGGCAGGTGGTGCTGTATGTCCCCTGGGGTGAGAATTCTATAGCTCACGTCCCAACTGCCCCCAATGCCGACAAAATACGATGACTTATGGACATGTACCAGAACGTCAGCAAGAAAAAGCTCAAACTAGTAAAAGTTACACAACTTTTGGAATTATACTAGCGGCATCGAAGGCTTGGGAAAAGCCATGAGTTTTGAGCATGTCGACAACAAATCCGATTCTCATGACAGCTGTAAAACAATCGTTTTCAATTATATAACAAGTTCTGGAAGGCAGTGAGAAAACACGCTGCAAAAGGATTGATTGGCAGTTCTATTAGTGCAAAACCACTGGCTGGCTGGCCTGGCCGGCTTCATGGGTGGGGAATTGGTATAAGCATGCTCATAGGCCTCTTGTGGCTAATCGCATCTACTGGATATACACCACACTACTATAGCGGCTGCAATGCAGACAGACATTTCGAATAAGAAAATAGTGGAGTAGTAATAATTACTAGTAAATGGCCTTTGGACCAAACTCTAAAATGAACAGCCATGAGGGGGCATATGCACAGCGTGTGTCCATGACGAATAAATGACCCTTCAATTGTCGACATATGCAATGCGCAGGGCAAGAGGCCGATAAACGAGGGTTACGTCGTTGTCATAGAAATCCACAACTCCAAAGGTAGCCCTAGAGAGAGAGGGAGAGGGATAGACAGCGCACACGCGAGCCCCACGACGGTGGTGTTGGCGGGTGCTAAGCGATTTATTCCATCCGTATTACACCCCATACGTACTTCCATTGTGCAAGCAATTAAGCCCGAAAATGCCATGACAAATACCCACCAGACCCCACGAATGCTGAAGATCGTGCTAAATGAGGGCTTCGATGAAGAAAGTGCAAGAGAGCATGGTGTGGGTGGAGGGTGATCTGGCCCCGGAACATGATTTAAGCTGTAACTAGAACTTTTCTTGTCAGTCTTCCTATCAGGATAGTCTCAAAAACCTTCCTTTCCCTGCATAGAAGACCCTCGACAGAAGACCCGATAGGACGAGCTGCCACGAGCGAGCTCCGTCAAGTTTTTTTTGACAAAAAAAAAACGTAGAAGATGGAAAGCTGTACCAGGAATCAGTAATAAAAAGTTTGGTGGTAAAGGCTTCATCGAGGCTTTTTTGTTTCTGACTTGATCAATCTCGAAAAAATAGGAAAACAAAGGATTCATTAAGGTAGTAGGACAGTAAGAGTAGTGAGTACGGGTTAGAGTCCTTCCACCTGTCTTATCAATTAGTGTACCCTTCCCGCAACTTCTAATAGACAAGCATCTGCTATCAGGGACCTCTAACGTAACCAAACAACTATATTAAACACCACCATTTCTACCCAGTGAATCTTGTAAATGTAAAAGTGTAAGGGTCCCTAATTTATTTAAATGCTAAAAGCTTCCATGAATATTGAATACGTTGTCGGTGCTTCACAACATTTACTGAGAAGTACAATTGTAATGCAAAACTAGTAACTGCTATCGTGTTCCTAAAAGTGCTACTGTGATCTGGGTAGCTGAACGAGGAGACATATTGATCCGGAGATCATGCGAGCCCAGTGTGACGTCTTCGGCCACTACATTACACCCGTCTGACGCTATACACACGGCTCTCTTTCATTCTCTGATTTAGTTTATTTTAATTTATTGTCGATCCATTAGAAATAATTTTTAGCTGAATCTACTGCCTATACTACTTTTACTTGCCTGTCTCTCTGTTACTGGTTTGACCATTTTGTTAGTTGTTGTTCTAAATAATTTCATCTTTGCACTATGCCAGTTTCAAAGTTCGGAGTGACCCATTTTAATTACCATCTTGATGGACTTTTTGAACAATCACTAGATCACAATCATTTTTTTCGCTATAGATTAGATCAACCTCAGATCGTCGACACCCTTGTAGTACAAGTAAGATAACCCTGAGTTACCAACCAAAATAGTGTTCCACACGAACGGACGTCAGGGAGAATGACCTCAGTCAGTCAGTTTTTTTTTTGTTTCGTGAGATTTCTATGTGGTATAAACGACCGTAGCGAAAATTGTAGCTCATACAAACAGGGCAATTACGTGTGATTGATATGTGACAGAGATCGTCGTCGGTCATCAAAATGGACAAATGCGAGGTTGAAATGGACTACCACCCAGATCCAGTAGAGGTTGGGGTGAGTATACAGTTACCAATAAATACTATTACGACAGTGTACGCCATGTTACTAACCACAATCCCTTAGCTTTTGATTATGTACTGATTGTTGAACTGGTTACTTCTACAGAATCTGTCATGAGCTTTGTAGCCACATTGTCCGCTTCAAGGTATTCATGTGAAAGCAGAAAGCGACTCAACAATGTTACAAAATAAAAATTCAATTAGGAGTTCGAAAATTCGGCTACAGGAACTCTTTACGGCGCGTACGCTCCTGCATAATTGATTGATAACTCAAAGGCGCCACTCCCCCGTAGTTGGACCGCAGGTGCCGCGTCTATCACTAATCGATGAATATGTAATGACTAGTAGACACGTAAGTGATAACATAAAATGGCACACCTTCCAAGTGCCACAGTCTTAAATAATAGAATGACAGCTTAAGTAATTACGAATTGAAAATAGAAAGTCGAGAGAGGTTCCACATTGTTGGAGTTCGAATAAACCTGTGAAATTCCGAACAAATTCAAAAGTTGGGTGCCTTTCGATTTTTCTATGAGCAAATTCCTTCATTTGATAAGTGGCGTCGATACTGCCCTGAGGATCCAGTGCTCACTCCCAGATCGAATTTCACCTCGGCTAAACCTATATTTCTTAGTGGTAGGAAAAATGGCTTCACACTCGAGTAAAAGCTACTGTAATGACGCTACGATTTTGAATGAAAGACGAATACATGGCTGATTTCAAACCGGTCTGATTAGCCTGGGCCGCTTTTCCTTAAGTTTTTCTGTTCGGCATTATTAAGTGAGATGGTGAATAAAGTGATGGAAAGTGTGATGATGAGTAATTGAAAGTATGCGATTGGAGGAAATTGATGGAAAAGTGAGTGGTTTTAGTTTATGCAGTCAGATGACGAGGAATAAGGTGAACCTAAGATCACATTCGAGATGTCCAACAGTTACAAGTTACATTAGGGTAAAGGGAAAGTTCTCAGAGAAGTCCGGGGAGAGGTAGCCAGAGGAGAGTGGCCGTCGAGAGCTTTGTTGCCCAGAAAGACAGGAGTATGCAAAGAGGACAGAATTACAACGGAGCTTCCCGAACACATGTCCCAATATGAGGCCGAAGATGAGTTGCCGAGGTCAGATTTGACCAATTTGTCCAGAATGGATTACCATCGTGCCAATACATCATCAACCAACATGCAGTTAAGGTCGTTGACCTCCTTGCACCACCTCATTACCCTCTTCACCCTTTAGAATTGCACCTTTCTCAACATAAATTGCTAAGTAGCTCCCTATTACTCAGAAGTTTGGGTTTCTGCCTAGCATGATATCGATATTAGTTGTCTGGCTTGGTCCCCTCCATACTGCCCGATTACTTACTAGTTATCTGCCCATTTCTCTATCAG